CCAGCATGGAAGAGGGAATAGTAGAGGCCTCTGTTGGGGATCAGCTCTGGCCTGAGTTTGGGGGCTCCTCCCCTATGTCATCCCTGAAGTCCTTCCCTTGAGCATCAGGGCAAAATGGTCTCATTCCCAGGAGACCGCCTTAGGTGATATCCATTGTTTGCTGCTTCTTCAAGAGTCTGGGTCCACATAAACCCGAAATTCCCAGCCAAACCCAGGGGTGATTCAGCAAGACCTGGACCACAGGGGAATCGTCCTGCAGACTCCCCACAAACCTGGTCTGAGTCTGAATGGGATCTAACCACAGCCCTGATCCCAACACAAACCAGAGGCAATGCCATAAGGTCTGTCCTTTCCCAGGCATGCTTTCAGGAACCAGGGCTGGGTGCATATGAATTACAGCACCGGGGAAATGAGAAATTATCAAGGCTCACATTTGCGAGAGCCCGGCAGGACAAATTATGCTGAGGGGAAACCGGCACGGGTTCGTGGCAGGCAGATCGTGCCTGACTAATCTAGTTTCTTTTTATGATCAGGTTACGAAACGCCTGGACGCAGGAGGAGGGGTGGATGTCGTGTACTTAGGCTTCAGGAAGGCCTTCGATACGGTATCCCACCCCATACTGGTGAACAAGTTAAGAGGCTGTGACTTGGATGACTGCACAGTCCGGTGGGTGGCGAATTGGCTGGAGGGTCGCACCCAGAGTCGTGGTGGATGGGTCGGCTTCGACCTGGAAGGGTGTGGGCAGTGGGGTCCCGCAGGGCTCGGTCCTTGGACCGATACTCTTTAATGTCTTCATCAGGGATTTGGACGAGGGAGTGAAGTGTACTCTGTCCAAGTTTGCGGATGACAGAAAGCTATGGGGAGAAGTGGACACGCCGGAGGGCAGGGAACAGCTGCAAGCAGACCTGGACAGGTTGGACAAGTGGGCAGAAAACAACAGAATGCAGTTCAACAAGGAGAAATGCAAAGTGCTGCACCTAGGGAGGAAAAATGTCCAGCACACCTACAGCCTAGGGAATGACCTGCTGGGTGGCACGGAAGCGGAAAGGGATCTTGGAGTCCTAGTGGACTCCAAGATGAACATGAGTCGGCAGTGTGACGAAGCCATCAAAAAAGCCAATGGCACTTTATCGTACATCAGCAGATGCATGACGAATAGGTCCAAGGAGGTGACACTTCC